AATTCGCGAGAAATATGCAAAACAGTGCGAGCAAAATGTGCACAAAGCAGAAAAATACAGTCCAAGATATTCACATCAAAAAAAAACAAATTCGGGAACACTTTACCGAAAAACACGATAAAAGATAGATTATTCCCGAATGGAAATAAACAATTCCACAGTCAAGACGACGCACTGCGAGTCCCAAACAAAGACAGGGAAAATGGTGCAATCGCGTCTGGCTGAATTGTTTGGCACAAAGGGGAGATATTAAGGTCAGAAGTGGTGTACAGATCAGTAGAAGTTTTTGGGAAGTGAAAGTGTTGCAATTAATGCAATATTTGCGTTCATAACCATGATTTTCTGTTGATTATTTCGCTCTCATAAATTCATTCTTATCAAAATCTTGGTTTTGAAAAATTTTTCTAGGTTATATGACTGATTTGTGACTGGTTTGTGACTAAATAACATCCTTAAGTCGAATTTCCTGCGTCTTTTGGTTTTTTTTTTTGGTGTTTTGTTTTTGTGTGTTTTGTTGTTTTTTTTTTTGTTTTTGTGTGTGGTGTTTTTGTTTTTTGTGGTGTTTTTTGTGTTTTTTGTTTTTTTGTGTTTGGTTTTGTTGTTTTTTGTTGTTTTGGTTTGGTTGGGGTGTGGGTTTGTTGGGGTGTGGGTGGTGTGTTTGGTTTTTTTGGTTTGGTAAACACGACCCGCAGAGAATATCGAGGAGTCATCGCCATGCCAGCAATTGCCTGGAATTAATTCATAAACTTTATCATTGCAGCCAATTGCGCCTCCTTGTGGGGACGATTTCGCAAGGCTTCACCTTGCGACAAAGCCACATCGGAAGAATGTACACAAATGTGGGAGAGATAAGAGGAAGAAGAGGCCGAGAGTCGTCCAGAGAATGGAGTTGTTTATTATTTTTCGTGGCGTTAAATGTTGGCGCCAGTTATTTGGAAAATTTGTGGCATAATTTACTGCGTGGCACAGTCATGTTCCTTCGCCTGCTTCCCTCATTTTGATATTAATAGATGGGCACAACATAATCACCTCATGTTGCGGAGACTTGAGCGCCTAAGTGCTGTTGTTCTTCGCAGCCATCGCCAAATAAACAAATGGATAAATTTATTGGATCAGGAGAGAATGTGGCTCAGGGTCCCGAACAGTATCTCAATTTTCAAAATTCACACCATGCGCAACTTGATAAGAATAACAGATGATTGTCACGCTCATGCGAACGCGCGATTTGCAAATATTCCTCTGCGGATTGCGAAATTGTTTGAATTACACTTTGAAATTGCAACTATTTCAGCACTAGGAAGCACTTTGTGGCCGTGGAAATTTGCTATCGTTTATTTGGGAAATTGTTGCTTGGATTGATTTTTTATTCAGTAAAAGAGCCTCCGAAGCACTTGTCAACTGGCCAGCGTGGCCAACTTCACCAGGACGCTAAAAGAGAATTCAATCAGCCTAAAGAGCGTCGTTAGAATATGAAATTTCCAGTGAATTTTCAACTACGTCGCAATTTCAGCAAGTTATCGACACTTACCGACACTTATCGATACAAATTGCGTACGATTTCCTTTTTAACACAATTTTAGGGTGGAAAAAGGACTGATATGAGACTAATTAGTCCTAAGACGGTTGATTTCGGATGTTTTCCTCTAAAATTGAGTAATTAAAGGAAATTTGCAGGTCAGTTCATGTCGATAAGTGTCGAAATTGGCATGAACTTACCATCATTTCAACATTATACAGTTAAATAAGTGTTTAAATATTCAATCAAACGGAGAAAAGTCTCTTCTTTCTTAAAGTTTCCCTCTACAAATTCACACTGTGTATTTCTCGACAGAAGTCTGTGTCGAAAACCAGCCCAGAATATCGATGAAGAAATTTCAGAGTGTGTTTACAATAAAGGCAGTGTTAAGTGGATCATTAAATTGGCGACGTGATTTGGCGTCTAGGAATGTGGCGAGCATCGATTCCCCCTTCCCAGAGAGTCGATCGTCCTCTCCCTTGGAGCCCGTGACGGCGTTCGGCGCCAGCGTTGCACCTAAATAGAGCCAAGGTGCAAAGTGAGATATGACAGAGAAGAGAGAGCGAGAGGATGTGGAGGAATTGGAGTCTCTCTGGGGGACAGCATTAATAACTTTCCCACACCATCCAGCAGCTAATTAGAGGGACAGAAACACTTGTTACGATAGCGGCCGGAATTAATGGCACTGGAGCACAAGAGAGTAGTCAAAAGCGCGCCATCATCGGGCCATAATTCATCTCATCTGGGTTGGCGCGCGCGAAATAATCTCCCTCTCGTGCTTCGAACTACCTGTTGATGGTCCTGGCCGATGATGCTGTGCCTTGGAAAAAAGTGCAGCGCGCCAATGGATTCTCGGCTGTCTTTTCTGCTGCCCCCCAAAAATATACACACATATATATATATATGTGGTGTACATAAAATATGGATGGCATCGTTTATCATTTCGACAAATTTTTGCCCTCACATTCCACACACACACACACACACAGACTGGAACGGCGGAAGAAAAGCCGAGCAGAGCTCGCGAGTCAGAGATACACTTCTCTCGATGGCAAGAGAATTTATTATCCTTAACGGACTTCGGGCCGCGAGAGCGATTCATTATGCCGGGGCGAGCAGAAGGCACGGCGTGTCTTCTTCATTTGACCCTCCGCGGACAGGAACATCGTGATAAAATGTTAATACGGTGCGCGATCGCGGCAAATTCAGTGTCAATAAGTCCGAAACACACACAAAGTTCATCGCGTATTCATATGATAATGCGCCCATGAAGTTGAGGGAGACAAAATTAACATCTATTAGTGTTAACATAATTCCACCAATGCGCTCAATTATGACAAAAGCCAGAGTGCAATAAATAACCTGCAACGCGCGCCTATGCGTTACAATTCCGCACCTTTTGGAGCCTCATCTTCACTCCCGCAGCAAACTGGGCAATAAAGTCATTATATTCGACATATTCAGTGCTTCTCCGATTACTTTATGGCTCAATTCAACAGGTTGTTTCTATTACGAGAGCTGTTCTAACGGCTATTAACTCCAACGGAAGTCCCATTCATCAATTTCTCTCACCCGCGAGCTACGCATTGAGCTCGTGCTTCTGCCACCTGAATTGACCAAAACAGGAACAAAGACTCGCGGATTCGCCAGATTAAGTATCACCGCAAAACTGAGACTTTCTCCGCAAATCCGCAGCATTCTTACTCAATTGCATGTCTAAGAATTTATCCCAGAAATCATGCATGACGCAAGCTTCAGCGATAAGATGATTGTGAGCTGAAACAATGTTAGCAACAATTTGCAAGATATGTAATTATAATATAATTGAAAATCGCTTTGCGTCTATAATTTTCCTCTCTCTAAATTACAGAGTGAAAAATACAGCAATAAGCGACGCGAACAAGCTTAATGAAGATTGAAAATTGAGATAAATTATATTGACAAATGCACATCAAGAAAAATGCTATTGCCAAGGAGGAGATAATGCAGCAAAATATTGATTTAGAAAACTTTCTGGGTCATCTTGACTCTAAATCTGCAATTTTCAGATCATTGGCGAATCACAACAGACGATTTTGTGATCTAGAAAGCTTCCACAACAGAGAAATTCAAAATATTGGAAGCCCTGCGCATCTTCTTATCTGGACATAAAAATGTCAATAAGAAGGATGACTGTCCTGCCGTCAGCATGATCTATCTAAGAAAGCGATTTTCGTCAGTTTCCTCAAATGAAAAGCTTCCAAATGGAATCTTTGTAGATTTCTCAGTGATATTTTGAGGTTATGATCGAGAAATATGCCCAAAAAAGCGTTTTCAAGTGAATTCTTAAAGAAATATCGGTTGGAAACTTAAGATTTCTACAGCTTTAAGTCATATTATCTCCCCCTTGGCCCTTGAATTTGATTTTCTAATAAAATAATACCTCTAAATTGCAACTGAGGAAGCTGAGCGGTACAAAATGAAGCAATTTCTTGCACAAATGAATGCAAAGAATTTTACTGCACTCTAATCACACTAAATGCTGCCGCATAAAGCATTAGATAAAGATCTTATCTTTCAGAGAGTGAAAAAAGCGAGAAAAATTTCTTCGGTCATAATTTTCTACGGCAAGAAAAACCGCGGAGAGAGAAATGTTTTTACACCTGCCACTCACTTTTATAGTATCCAACATTCGAGCTTTCTTGCAGAAAAACACTCAAAGCCATTGAGATATTAAATCATACTGAAGTCACGCTAAAATCACTAACGACACGTAATTTATCAGCTCGACTGCTATGAAAATCGCCTGAAATTTAACAATAAATTCATATGAAAATATGGCTCAAAATGTACATTATTTCTATAGCTATGTATAGTTTCACAAGCGGGAAAATCGCGAGGAATATATATATTTGTCAATACAATCCTGAAGGTCGAAGAGCCTCTGAATTGGGCGAGTCAAAAGGCTCGATGAATACAAAATTAAATTGATTGTTTAATTGAAGTGCAATTTAACCCTTTCGTGGCGACATTGAGAGTTCACCCTAAGCGGGAAATTTGATCCTTTTTCCAGTGGAGGGACGCAATTCTCAGCACATTCACACCGCGCCGCAAACTATTTTGTCAGACAATGAATTTTGAACTTTTCCATGAGCGAAATTCGGGACTGTCAGCCACATTCCTCGTTCAGGTTGGCGAACAACAATGGGAAGAGACTCGGTGTTTGTAATTTTCCCAAAATACACAGCAGTGGAGTGGATACAGGGCAGAGTGGAGGGGAGATAACAACAATCCTGGGCAATTAAGACACTTCATTGTTGAGTTCTCGTGAAGTTCATGTGTGAATTGTCCCTCGAACTCGATTTTCGTATCTGACGAACGCACATGAAGAGCCGCATGACAAATTGCGAGAAGGAGATTGATTGCTAAAGTTGCGATTGCAGACATAATGATAATGTCAGGAACACCTTTAGAGCGCAAGCATCTTAATAAGCAGAGCAGCAAATCTGTATTATTTACATTCTTTATTTCTTTTTCCTTCTTGTACATATAAAATTAGTCAACAAGATGTTCGTAACAAAAGTCTGTGGCAACAGGAACTTGTCAGTGGATTGGCAAGCAAAATCAGCCTTTTAGTGCCATCCCTTGTGGTCGGCCTTCTCCTTCTGCAGGATGTGCTTGTAGACGGTGAAGGGGACGGGATAGGGCTTGGGCACGGGCACCTCGATCTTCTTGATCACCTCCACGGGATAGGGCTTCTGGATCTCAACGGGATAGGGATGCTCAACCGGCACCGGCACGGCCTTCTCGATGATCTGCGGCACGACCTTGTAGATCGGGATCTGGATGGGCTGCTGAACAGTCACGTGAACTGGATAGGGCTGCGGAATGCCGACCTAGAACAGAGTTAAACGTCAATTTTACCCCTGAATGTTCTAGCTGAAACATACGCTTCAGGGGAATTATGTTTCACTTTCTGTTAACCTCATAAATTTATGCCAATTTCCCTTTAGTGCTAAAAAATCGGTATTTCTATCATATATAGAGACATTTACCTCAAGACAAGAAATGATCAAAATTTTATGATCTTTCACTTGGCGTTGAGATCATGACGCTATCTCAGTTTGGAGTCGAGATATCGCAAAATGCAGAGAAATATGAGCAAAATGACAGCGAAAATTAACTAAAGACGCTTCCTAATCTACTCTAAAACTACTACTGGCTCAGAGAACCACATTAAATTATGAGTTTGGAAAATCTAGAAGACATTTACATTATAAAGCGCCTTGGTTTGGACTTGTCAACTTGCTTATCTCTCCTAACAGAGAAGTCTGCGTCCCTCAGAGATTGAAATCATCCTTACCTTGACGTAGTTGGGAACTGCAACGGGGACAGGATGGGGAATGGGAACGCCGACTTTCTCATAGACAGGAACAGGGACGTGCTTCTCCACTTCGGAGTGTGTTGTGTGCACGTCGTGATGATGGTGGCTGTGGCTGCCCTCATCAATGGATGCCGAAGTGAGTGCGATCACAGACAAAATAGCGATGATTTTCTGCTACGGAGAAACGATCTCAATTTGAGCACTTGTGGGAAGATCTCTCTCTCTTCACATCAAAAGGGTGTGCAAAATAACACTTACCATGGCGTTCATTGTGGTTGTTCCTTTGCACTTTGAGACGAATTGAAGTAGAATCTCTGTGAATTGAGCACGGAAAATGCACTGGCAAGATAGTCACGAAATAACACGAGAGACACTTGTGCTGCTGCCTTTGTTGGTACACTGCGAATGATGCACCTTTCTCCGTCACGATCGCCTTTTATACGCGTGGATTTAATTGTAAAAGAGCATTTCTCTCACCGTGACCACCATCTGTGATTAGTTTGAGTGAAAGAATATGTAATTGTGTATGTTTGATCTTATTGACTAATAGCAACCGTTAAAAAATCTTTTGTACTTCAACTTTTTGCTTCCTCAATTGCGGTCCGAAGGTGAGGAGAGAACTCCAAGCGAAAGACACACAATTAAAGGTTAGAGAAGAGAGTGAGAAAGAGAGAGATCCCATCGAGTGTGATAGAGTGCAAGAAAGGGAGAGAAAAGGTGCAAGAGATGTGGAGTTTCAATTGAACTGGAGAGGCGAACAACATGAGATGATATTGAGAGTAAATTAATGATCTTGGAGTGTGTTGTTACATCACAAGATCAAGATCGCGATCACGATTTCAACCTCGTATATTACAAGATATATTAAGAAGCCAATGACTGGTTTCAACAGTAAAAGTGATCTACAAGAATAATATGCCAGCGCGCACTCAATTTATTTATATATTCTTAAATTCACAATTTAAAAATATACAAGAAATTACATACAAATATGAGGAAAGATCACTGCAACGTGAAGACTTGGCTATCCATGCATCGAAGTGATTGTTTACCTTATTCGTCTTAATTATAAACTCTCTTTTCCACTTCTTTTGCATTTCTCTCTTTCGCCACAAAGTGATCCATTCCTCACACAGTCTCAGGTGAGTAGAATTCGAGTCAGTGTGAAGATTACGCAAAAATCACGGGTAAAAAGTGTCTTGGAGAAAATTCTGGTGAATTCCCGCGAAAAAGAGCAAGAAATCCGTCACTCTCACTTAAATCCCCAAATTAACTTTTTTCTCCCAGGCTTATTGAGAGTGAAAGAGATTGTGTGTGATTTCTGGTACCTTTACCAGAAATTAAACCGTCTCATATTGCTTCTTTTGCCGCACGATCTTACTTGCTTGTCTCACTCGCCAAAATTTCAATTCATACTTCTCTTCTCACTCGCCATGCGCCTCTGACCGCACTAAGTTCAACGATCCGCAAAAGATCTTTTTTTTCTTCTCTCGCCATTCCTCAAATGGATCACGCATGTCATGCTTTGGAGCTCCACAAATCTCTCTCTCTCCCCAAGAAGAAGGCGCGAGCGAGAGAGATGCACTTTTTTCTTCCATCTGCACACGATCATAGACGCATTTTTTCTCTAATGCTCCACATGATCACAAAAGTGTGATCACTCTCACTTTCTATACAGTCGGCTTCTTGGCAGTGCGCAATTGTGTGTGATTCGTCGGAAGATCGCCGATCGCGATTACCGTATTCGATCATGGACCTCCAGATCTGCGATGTCACTGGGCCGATGGCTCATGATCGATACGATCACATGCAGCAATGATCTATGACTTCAGAGGAAGAAGTGATCGATCACAATATTCCCAAAGGTCACAAAATCTAGAACTGCATTCGCAGATTCGTTGAAATTCTGCCACAGTCTAAGCAGCTGCTTGCATCATCGTCAAGACGCTGCTGAAGATCCCAGCAATAATCTTAAAGTTAGCTGCATAGCGATGCAGAGTTCTAATGCTCTGATATCTCGGAATTCTTCCACGTTACTTTCCTATGCCGTCTCAGCAGAAGATCAATCTTATTTGGCGTAAGAATCTCAATTCTCGCAATTCTCTGTCCTGTTTGGTGATTGTTGCGATCCTGTTAGGAAAAATCAATTATAGATATCATTATATCCATCATAATCCGAATCTACTTTTATTATATTGTCGGAGAGCATCTTTACTTCCGATTCTTTGGAGCTTCCAGCTTCCTTGCAAGAATTCAATGGAAGAAAGGCTGAGAGGATCGATTCCTTGGACATTAACACAGTCAATTACACTGCAATTGATATTGAAAACCTCCTTAAAAGGATAGAAAAACAAGACATTGCTCAAATTCCTCCTTTTTCCTCAATGGCGCCAAATTCTCAATCATATCTTTGTGTTATTTCTTGCCAATTGGCGTCAACAATCCTCAAAGCGTCACTTCAGCCTTTAAGATCATTTCTCGATCTTCTCTGTTTTTATGGCTAATTTTCAATTTGTCTGAGAAGCCAAAGTTGTCGGTGAAATAATTTATGAGTCAAAATAAGTAATTTGGACGTGGTTAAGCATCCCGATAGGACAGAGTGTCCTCAGCACAAACAAACCGCCGTCGAAGTGAGGATAATTTTATGGATGAGACATTTATCTTCGGCAGCGGTCAGAAGGATCCGGCAAAGGGAGGAAAAGTCAAGCTGCGCTTTATATCCTATTTGTCTCCGTTTGCCGCCGACGACACAGAGAGAGAATCTCCAGAGACAGGAAGAGAAATCCTTCGTGTTGCAGAGAAAGTTCGTCTGATGGCGAGATGATTTGGCGATGGTGAAAGAATGAGATATCACGACCTCTTCATCCGAATCAGTGCGCGCGGATTGGCGATCTCGGGAATCAGTGATCCATTGATCCATCCATCTCCGCGCAGTCCGCATGCAAATGGCGAGTAATATCCAATTGTTCCATGAACATCATCCATCTAATCTGACCATTTGGTCCGTCCAATGAATTTTCAACAAATGCCTCACAAATCAATCCGAAAATCCACCCATTCTTCAACCACTGCGCACTTCTTGCAGCCGCCTTCAATTGTCCAAAGATGCAGGACTCCCGCGGACTCTGCATCTTGTCACTCATCGTTGGGGCCAATTGACTGGACAATATGCGCACAGAGAGGACTCGCCGGCGAAGAGAAACGACCTGCGGGAAAACAGTGGGATTTGGACGAAAATTGAAATTAGCACAGGGTGGAAGACGAGCTTTCCTTCTTCTCTCTTTCTCTCTCCGAAAAAAGACACTGTTTGAATGCTTTTTGCCCGCGCTGAAGTCCTCCAGTACTTGGAGATATTTTATAGCAAAGCATTTGCATACAATGCACATGCAAATAGATTGTGTGTGTCCCTTTTTGACGAGAGACAGAGAGAGGGAGAGAGCGAGGAAAGGGTAAAAAGAGCAGCACAAGATTTACACTCCATCGCCAAAGTCCACTTTTTCCCGACCAAATCCTCGCCGGTGGTCAGCCAATTCCGCCACTGATGAACTCTCTGGCCGATATTTAATTACCCCGGGAGGCTTAATAAATTCACCCAAGTGCTGACATGGACTTTCACGAGGAAAAACCAGCGGAACACATTCTCTTGGACTCCTTCGAAACCGTCTCAAGGCGGGTTTTTGTGCGAATTCGCCGAATGGCAAAAAGGCCCACCGGGGAGAATTTATTCACTATAAGCCAATTTATGGCCCAGATGGGCAAATCAATTGATTTTTCACAAACTGCATTGCAATTCACGAGCAATTCCATCGATATTGCCAAAGGACGAAATCAAAGGAGGAAAAATTATTGCTGAAATTTGTCAGTGTGGAAAGCGACTGAAAACTAACCAAAATCTAACCAAAATCTAACTGACAACTTAATAATCGAGGTTTTCAGATAATATTTTACGTTTTTCTTCAATTAATTGCACTTTGGGGTATATTTTTTAACGTTTAAATTATTTATAGCTTAAAATCGCAGTTGTTGAGTAAAATTGTGAGATTATGTTTGACTTTAGCATTATTTTTAAACACTCAGCTTACAAAATCGTGATTTTCATTGAGAGAAAATGCGCAATTCTGTAAATAATTTAATTTGCAGCACAAGAATTTCTATCTTAAGTTGTTATTTAGTCTTTAATCAGTCACATAACCTAGAAAAAAACATGTAAAAATGCATATCTGGGTAAGAATTGATATGTTGAACTGAATATTACAGTTCATTAAACATTATCTCCCCCTTGATTTCAACGTTTCAGCGCCGACAATCGTTATGCAATCAATCCAATTCATCAGATGAGATAAAAGACTTCCTTTAGACTTCAATCGAAATAACACATTGGCCACCCCTCGTAAACCTTCCGCAGAGCCGCAGCGCGCTTTCGCGAAAGGGTTTCTCGAAGGGAAATGTAAGGAATATCAATGGAAATCACATATATATGTGGCCCCAAGTTGAGTGCCGTGCCACGGGAAAAAGTTTAACTCTGTGGAATTTCCAAGCATGTTTTCACCCTCAATTCGCGATAGGTGATATAAGGTAAATTCTTCAGTTTCTGCAAAAATTCCCATAACTATTGCCCGTTCCCACGGCGACGATGGAGGAAAATAGCGGGAAAAAGTGGTGCGGGAGGAGAAAGGCGAAAAGCACTTTCTCTGTGTTGTGTGTTTGTGTGTGGAAAAGCAAATAAACGATTAATGATATCTGCAGAATATCCTTTCCTACACTACAAATAAACACTACGCCTGTCTAAACAATGGCAGCTAATCTAAATTCATTTTGTTTTTGCCAAATGGCGTGCCACATTTCGAAATACGCCGCGCCACTCGCCGCCCCCTGGCATTTGATGCATTTGATGGCTCACGGGCCCAGCCCTCTGTGGCATCGAGGGCAACCCTTGGCAGAAATCTGCATACAACTCTCGCGTACTCATTGTCTGGCCCACGGAGAGTGATTTGGTGCCGATACACTCTCAATCTCCGCCGATCGCCTTTTTACTCGAAAACATCGCCGAGACAATGCCAGGGAATTGTGATGTGTATGCAAAATTGATTCAATAGCGCGGTTTTTCTCTCAGGACATATCCAAGAAGCTCAGCATGATGGAATAAATTGATTTCACACAGAAGACACTCGAAAATTGGAGGGGATCCTTTCGATATTCCGCTCGGTTTTCACCCCTAAGCAAATTGATTCCGATTTTACGCGCTTCAGGCATCGTTAGACGTACTCTCGAGTGGATTTCATACTTCCGGATGACTTAAAATTCATGACATGGAAATCGGAAGACTTGTTTTCGTCATCCCTCAAATAAAATCAGTGTATTTTCTTTACATAATTGACCATAACTCATAGAATTAGGGATTTATTCTTTTGAAAATTGATAGTCCAAGAACTAATTACATATTTTCAGTCCTATTTTCT